CATGTCAATTGGAACACAGTTCATGCACGGAGCTCACTTCTAACGAGATGATGATGTGCATCAGGTGTGTTAAGAAAGAGAGACGTGCAAAACATGCAGAGTGGGGGTACGCGAGGACTGGAATTGGGGACCGCTGGTCTAGAACAATTCTTACAAATATAACACGACGTAGCTGGGTGCCACGGACAGACGCCGAACGGCGCCGCCGGTGTGAGTACACGCATAGAAAATAATGTGTTCGAATTTTAAAGACGTGGCGCAACGCTGCGCTTCTCGTCCGGTGTGCGACTGCCTGAAACGCTGTTTTTTTTTCACTTCCGAAAGCGGATGATGTCAGGAAACAGTGGTTGCAATTTACTTTTTAACTCTGTTCCTGAGCATTATAACCCCAATTTGCTATTGTGTGCTGCGCATTTTACTGAGGACAGCTTCCACAACATGAGGGAGTACAGTGCCGGATTCGCCAAAAGCTTTTGTTGAAAGACAGAGCAAGAGGCGGGGCAGTACTGAAACACCGTCTAAGCTGTTCGCCAATCACAACGCACTGGGACAGCTAACCAATCACAACACATTTTGTTTTTCGGAAGGCGGACCTTCATCAAAGCCGGAACTAATCGAGCCGTTTGTGCCAGCCTGGGGAGAAAGGTATTTTAATAATGTAAATTATGTGAAAAATAATGCGTTTTTCGAACCACCAAGCATGAGAGCATGTTCTAGTACACCCCCAAAACAAAATCAAGACTTTGTAAAAGAGCATAATAGGACCCCTTTAATAAATTATTTGCATCAGGAGCATTTTGGTGTGCACGATTTCAGATTTTTTGTAGGTGTGTGTGATTAGAATCATCATTACTGATGAATCATGATTTCTGCATGGAAAAAAAATCTAAGTGTACATTTTAGGCAAAAATGGTGAATGAGACCCAGTATTTACCAATGTTTATGTGGTTTGATGTTACTGTACCTTGAAATGGTGCCGCCTGTTGGCAGTCTGTGATATGCCCTCCATTCATTTGCTCCATATGCCTTTGCTTTTCCTATAAGAAACAGAAAGTAACACATTAACACAATTAAGGCAGTCAAATTCTACCTCTTAAGAAGTGCAAATTAAAAGGCCATTCAGCTATGCTGAACAACAAAATTGCACTTTAACAGAAAGATACATTCGACATGAAGTTTGAGCACTGACTTGTTGTTGAAGCTGTTTGGTTATTAGCTGATTCTTAAGCATCATGTTGTAGTTGCTGCCCTGGGGCTGCCGTGGCACTGCTGACGAAGGGTCCTGAAGAGGTGGCACCATTCCTGCACCTTGATCCTAAGACAGACGATAAAAGAAAGATCACTATTAAACCTGCACTCACCTTCAAACTGCATTTTAGCTACACATAACTCAAATGTGTCAAAACAATGCCTGTCATATTCACACAGACATGATCTCACCTTCACTTGACCCACACAAACAACTCTAACTAACTACGTATAATCGCACCGTGATCAAAGACGTGACGCCATTCAGTGTAACTCAACACAGCTAAAAAGGTCATCTCAACCAAGCCCACATGTTCTAACAGGGCTTCTTTCCTTAGCAAAGTTGTACACATCTGTAAATAACCACAGAGGATTCAGACCAGACCCTGCCTTCCCAGAGTCACAGACGTTTGTTTTTGTTGGCTTTGTCTGAATGCACCCCTCCACCGAGCAGTCCAGCTAGGCATTCCCATATTCCCATTCCCACAGAAGAAATGCTCCCCACCCTCTTCCCTCCCTACTCCCATCCAAATCCTGAAACCACATGCGTAACCAGAGTAGAACATTAATCACAGACCATTATGAAGACGTGGAGAGATAACTACTTCACGTCTGGCATTCCGTCTATGGCAGAACGCAATGATCTGCTTCACGTCATAAAGACACAAACACAAAATGAAATTACTGGGTTTATTATGTTGTGTGAATTCAATTAAATCTCAAATTACATATGCTTAGCATCACACACAGCTAATATCATGCTCAAGAACAAGCAGAGGTAATCTGAGGCACTAACAGACACTCCTAGCATGAAACTGGTGTAATCATCTTTGCTTGTAACAGGCAGGGTGGTGAAACGGCTTCCCATGGGGAATATCGTGGTGCTTTGCAGTGGAAATGAATGGCTTGTCTGCAGCACTAGTGCAGGTAATGGATATTGATCCAGCACTTGGGTATGTGCAGCTGGAATGAAGAGCTGGTTTAGATGCTTTTGTTGGTTGTTGGTTGTGTTAGGGCTGTGCCTGAGAGTTGTCCATGCATGATTCGGTTTGCCATTAAGAACTACAACTTCTAACGATTCTAAACAACACTCACATCTGTTACTTCTTAAAGGAACAGTTCGCTGAAAAATTAACATTCTCTCATCATTTAGTCAGCTTCAGTCACCAATCACTTACAGTAATCTGGGTTTGGAACAACATGAGGGTGAGTAAATGATGCCAGGATTTTAATTTTTCAGGCGAACTATCCCTTTAAGATATTATGAGTACTGTTTGAACATTATTTAAACATTTTCTGTTTCGTCAGCCGCTCAAATGCTCTGCAAAGCCCAAGGAAAGAAAACAGTGAGTTGATTAGTATGATAATAATCAGCGACTCTCTCACAAATCCAACAGAGAGATATGAATAAAAACCTTGGTTTTCCCTCCAAGCGAACGCTAGATGGCGCCTGCGCACTCTCACAGTCCTAAACAAAAACAGAACGCCCGGGCGGCGCGTTTAACCGCTTGATCCTCCTCAAGAGTTTACGCTGAGCTTTTCTGTCGCCTGTCTTTATCGATTGTAAAAACCCAAGTCTGTTCTCTATCTAGTCAGCCCAGTGTATTGATGAACATAAATTATTAATGGGCTCATAACTCCGTGACTTGTGAATATACGACATGTTTTAGTCTGTCAGGACGCAGCTTTGCGCTCTATTCGGGAAAGCTCGCCAAGGTAAACAGCGTTTCCGATTGTGCCCTCGATAAGAGACGACTTTTCATTCTTTCTCCCCTGTCCTGAGCTACCCCCAAACACCTCACAAGCTTTCCAATCCAGAGCCTCCAGCAACACACGCACGTTTAAAGCAGTCCGTCAAGCCGCCTCCCCTTTCCGTTCAGCGCGCTCACTCAGCTTTTCACGCAACTCACATTTCAGTGTGCATTTAATAGATTAGATATCACAGCAGCAGAGGTTATCAAAGCAATCCGCTGCCTTTGTTGTCGAACAGAATGCAACCGTTCCTGTGCGTACGAGACGGTAACAAAGAAAGAGAGATATGTTTAACCCTGTCAAAAAGAAATGTAAATTTAGATTGCTCTCTCTCTGCATTGCAAAGTACGATATCAACAGAATAAAGTAATAGTATAATGGTCCCATTATACATTAAGTGTCTTTAAATACTATGTAATTAATAATAAAATAATGAATTGTTAGGTACAGTGTACCTATTGTGTTCATGTTGAATTGCAAAACATTTTAGGTGTAAACTAGATATGTACGGTGGCCGAGAGAGCTCAACGCGCTGCAACTTAAGAAAACACATGCAAATTGAAAAAACACCAGCAAATTAAGAAAACATCTTCATCAGTTTGACAACACACGCGCTGCAAATCCTCACAACACATGCAAATGAAGAAACGCTGCAAATCCTCACAACACATGCAAATGAAGAAACGCGCTGCAAATCCTCACAACACATGCAAATGAAGAAACATGCTGCAAATCCTCACAACACATGCAAATGAAGAAACACGCTGCAAATCCTCACAACACATGCAAATGAAGAAACACGCTGCAAATCCTCACAACACATGCAAATGAAGAAACACTGTCTTGAAATTTAGTGATCCAATTTTTTTCTTCAAGACTGGTCATAACTTTAAATTCAGTTTCATAAAATGGTAGCTATTGTTCTATTTGAATCTGAAAAGTAAGACCACTTTAACGGCTAGTTAGTGAAACGAGTTCTTAAGACACAGTCTAAACATTGTGACAACTGTGCCAGTTTATGCAACTGGCCCCAGATGTATTTACAGGATGGTATTTTTGAATATAAGTACAGTGTAAAAACATGTGTACACAATATGTGCATTGTATCAAATTATTAATTTAAATGTAAGTAAGGACACTTAATATAAAGTGGGTCCTAATAGATCAAATTAAACAATAGTATAAAAAAAGAATATAATTAGAAGTGCAGAATAAAATTTCAAAATGACATTAATTAAAAGTTATTTAAAGGTATAATGATGAAAAACAGCACGAAATATGCCCTAAACCACATAAAAGAGACATAATTACCCATAGCAAACTAACAAGAGAAATAAAACCAATTATGCATTTGCGTGCTGCCGAGCATGAAAGGATGTTCTCTCACTTAACCCAGAGCATGCATGTTTGACCTTGCTTTTGTCATCTAAAGCAAGGGTTATTAGAGTTTTTTGACATTTCAATAGGTTTTTTTTCTTTCGTTTTAGTTTTTCTTTCATTATTTTTGTTTTGTTTTTTAAAAAGTGATATTTTGAGTTCATTTTGCATAGTTTTAAAATACTTATATTCCTTTACAAGATTTTTTTATTTATTTTTTGGGGTCACTGGTGGCAAATTTACTCACTCCAAAACCTCACATACAGAGAGTGAACTGTGGTTGGTTGTTATACTATGGAGACCCTCATTCATAAACTATTACATTCCTCCAATCTTCAACTTTTGGTTACATCCTTGATTTGAGACCCCAAATTAAACACCAAGTAAGGCTTTATTTGCCAAAAACAAGCGGTACGTCAAATCTCTCTCTATATAGGTCCATTCTCCAGGATTCAGCTAATTGTCATGGGAAAATGTCTGAGAAGCAGCAGTGCAGGACTATAGGAAGGGAAAGGGAGAGAGAAAGAGAGCGAGCGAGAGGGAGTTGTTGTTGAATGTCAGTGAAATCGCTTTGTCAAGCAACTCCGAGTGAACTTGCTGGGAGTAATGAGGGGGAGGGACAAAGAAAGAGGGAACGCTTATGACTGCAAGAGTTAGGAAAGAATTAGATGGGGATGAATGGAGTGGACAGAAAGCGAGGAATAAGAAGAGAGAATGGGACTGACTCAGGCACACAACGTTTGCAAAAAAGGTAGAATTAGAAAGCGCAGTGGATAATGGAAGCAGACACGAGACAGATAGAAAGAGAAAGTACATGCAAGGAAAGTGTGTGAGAGAAAGTGGGACAGAGTTGTGTAGAGCGCTCCGCTGTGCCGTCCTGGCAGAAGTCCAGCTGTCCAGAGCACAGGCAGACACTAAGTACTGCTTTTATCTCCACGGTAACCAAGTTTATTTATGTATATTGCCTTGATGGTGGGGTTAAAGCACTATGAAATGATGACTGACACAATACTGACCTTCTTTACAAATGCATGCTGAATATATGAGTGTCTGCCTTGAATCGATAACCTCTGATAATATTTAATATGCAAGCTATGCATGCCCTGATTTATGCGTGTGCACACACGGCGATATGTACACGTACATGTGTGTGTGATAGTGGGAACAGCTCACATCATTGGGCATGAGAGGAGGATGTTAATGAATGTGACGCCTGACCTACTTCCACAACAACACATATCAGCTCTCTCTTTCTCTCTCTCCTTCTCTGTTTGTATGGCTTGGAGACAAGTGCCAGTCTTCGTGCCAGTCTGGTTAACCACATTGTACCATGTCTACCATATACACCCTATCACAAAAATCCAGTTCTTAAGGCGCTGAGGATATCCACATGTTTTGTTCAGACACGTAAAAATAGATTTCAGGTTAAAAAAAAAAACCTGTTATTGAAGGGGGAAAGCGAATAAAGATCAGAGGTGCGTGGGTGGATGGATGTGAAGGAGAGAACAAGCTCCCCCAGTCTTGCTTTGAAGCCTGCTAACTATCCTGGGACCCTTTGAAACACCGCCTCAAATTCCCGAACTGTTCCTGGCACGCACTTCTGCACACACACTCACACACACATACACACACACACACCCTACCAGTGCCAGACACTGGAAAGAACAAGATGCACATGCACACACACACACACACACTCACCCACCCATCCCCCTACCAGTGCCAGACACTGGAAAGAGTAAGATGCACACATACACACACACACTTGTGTGATAAGGCATGCCCACATACTGCATTCGCACAAAACATATTTGCACATTAAAAATTTTCTCACACATACAGTACACACATTCACACACACACCTGGGCTTAGTGCCGCTAAGAGCCACTGCCAGCCTAGTGTTAACTTGGCAGAGTGCTTAATTTATTCGGCATTCA